CTAGCTCATCAGACTGGCTAGTAGTAGTAGAAGGCTGAGCACTCTTCTTCGGGTTCCGCGGATTCTGTAGCTTGTACCACTCAAACGGCCCTGTCGGCTTGATGTCAAATATCTTGGGCTTTACCTTGGTATCAGTCAGATACTCAGTGATAGTGCTGGGTAGTGGTAAGGACTCTGTTGTGCCACAAGGGAAATGTTGGCCGACATCAGGGCACCCACATTGATCGGGTATCCGGCCATAATATATGCCACAAGAATAGCTCGAGGAATAGGTAGGTTGTTCTCATTCTGGCACGGGTCAAGCCTATTGTAAACAAAGGTTTGCCACTCTTTGGCCTCGAAAATCAGTGTGCTCCGGAGAATAGGTACCCCATCAGCAATCCAAGGAGGAGTGTCCCGGTTCTAGAATCTCTGAAAGCCACAGCCTGGCCTCTTTTTTCAGAGCTAACTTCTCTAAGTACTCTTTCGGCTCCACATCATCAAACCCCAAGTACGCATTCAGAGTGTGCAGATCAAATTTCACCTTTAGGTTGCGCACTTTAGTGACCTTTGTCCCTTTGAGAATATGCGTTGTGTTGGCATAAAACTCTAGGACAAGGTGCTCTTTTACATCTACCAGCTTTTTCATGAATAGCATCCACCCCTTACTTTTTGTAAACTACTCCAGAACAGCGAGATTCTACTTGTCAAGATCTTTCAATAAGAACTGTCGCTCGTGAGTTAAAGACCTCAAAGGCATCCACATCTGGAAATCAGAGAATGCCTAGCGACTCACAAATCTATCCTCCCAAACCTCCTTCTTCTTTGACCTTGCTAACCCTGCCTGTTTACCTGCTCCCCCTCTCACATCATTAGGGGCATCCTAAGAATCAAACCCCGCAGAGTTGCATCGGACTCCTGACTGGCACTCTCCGAACCCTGGGAAGTGCTGTGGGATGTAGAGGCACATCCAGAGGCTCAAAAAGCCCCTGTGGCCTTGATTTCTCCTCGGTGTGCTCCTCTGAAATTGACACGGAGTTTCCCTCGGAGGCTTCCCTAGACGGGGCATATGAGCTAGTCTCGAGGAGGTCTGTACCTTTCCTTCGGTCTGATGTTGCTTTCTTCGATATAGTTTTCTACACACTTGGGATCAAGGCACCTCTGCCTTGACACCTTGAATATTCTCCTCTTCCTTTGGTATATTCACCTTGACCTCATGATCGTACCGTTATCTGTATAAGCACAAAGAGAATTGTCAATTGCAAATCCTGATTTAGCATAGTTAAGACTTATGTAAGCGAGTGAGAACAACATAGAAACAGCTAGGTATCAGTTGGTTACAGATGCAGAAGAAATAGGTGATGTGCGGTCCGCACAATTTGAAGTTCGAACCATAGAGTGGAAGTGCGGACAGCACAATTCCAAGTGCGGGCTGCACTCTACTACCTAGCACTCAGTGGTATGTCACTCTTGTGCGGTCCGGCCGCACAATTCTCCAGAGGTCGCACCTTTCCCCCGCATTGACATGTAAAAAGTTCAGGACCCTGTCATTTGGTATCTAAGTTTTCTTCAAGAAGTGCGGTCCACAGACAAAATTTGCGGCCGCACAAATTCTTTTGCGGTGGCAACCTTTTTTATGAGGTCGCACAAGAAAAAGTACGGTCCGCATTTTCTGCTTTGATGACACAACTCTGTCTACCATTCTATCATCTTACACTCATCCCTGCAGCACACTTCAAATCAAGTTAAAAGCAACAAATAACATCTAACTAAAAAGAAAAAGGAAAAGAACTTGGGTTGCCTCCCAAGAAGCGCCTTATTTAATGTCGCGGCACGACGCAACGTCATATCATCCTCAAGTGAAGTGAATAACCGCCACCACATGGCTCTCTCTAACATTTCCCAAGTAGTGCTTCACCCGGTGACCATTGACTCAGAATATTTCATTTTTCTTGTTCTTCAAATCCGATGCACCAAATGGGTGTCACACCAACAATTTCAAACGGACCACTCCACTTGGACTTAAGCTTCCCGGGAAACATCCTCAACCTTGAGTTAAACAACAATACTAGATCACCATCATTGAACTCTTTGTTCCAAATGTACTTGTCATGAATATATTTCATCTTATCTTTGTACAAGGATGAACTCTCATAAGCATGGTACCGGAACTCATCCAATTCATTCGAGTGTGCAACCCGCAAGTTAGAGGCTACGTCCCAATCAAGATTCAATTTCTTCAAGGCTCACATTGCCTTGTGCTCTAGTTCCACCGAAAGATGACAAGCTTTCTAGAACACCAACCAGTATGGAAACATTCTGATAGGTGTTTTGTAAGCCATCCTATATGTCTATAACGCATCATCCAGCTTCTTGGACCAATCTGTCCGATTTGCATTCACCGTTTTAGACAAGAGACTCTTTATCTCCTAGTTGGAGACTTCCACTTGACCACTAGCTTGTGGGTGATAGGGAGTCATGACCTTGTGAGTAACGTCATACTTGCTAAGTAAAGTGTCAAAAGCTTTGTTGCAAAAGTGTGACCCCCATCGCTTATGATTGCACGCGGAGTACGAAATCTTGTAAAAATATTCCTCTTCAAGAAAGCCATTACACTTCTAGCCTCATTGTTGGGTAAGGCGACGGCCTCAACCCATTTGGACACATAATCCACCGCGACCAAAATGTAAGTGTTTCCACAAGAACTCACAAAAGGGCCCATAAAGTAAATGCCCTAAACATCAAAAATATCAATCTCCAAGATGATTGTGAGAGGAATATCATATTTCTTTGAAATTCCACCAGCCCGTTGACATCCATCACATCTTTTTACTAAGTCATTTGCATCTTTGTATAGAGTAGGCTTTTAGAAATCACAACTTAGAACTTTGGCCGCCGTTCTTGCTCCACCATGATGACCACCATATGGCAAAAAATGACAAGCTCCAAAAATATCACCTTGCTCTTCTTCTGGCACACACCTCCTAATTACCCCATCTGTACAAATACGGAAAAGGTATGGCTCCTCCAAATAGTAATCTTGACAATCTCTTTTGAGCTTCGTTCTTCGGTTTGAAGAGAACTCATCCGGAATGATACCACTACAAGAAAATTGGCCAAGTCCGCAAACCATGGTACCTCTTTCATTGATAGTGCCAAAAGTTGCTCATCGGGTAAAGAGTCATTGATTTCAGGGCCATCATGTGGCCTCCCCTCCTCCAAACAAGACAAGTAGTCCGCCACTTGGTTTTCACTACCTTCTTGTCTTGAATGTCAATATCATATTCTTGCAACAAGAGCACCCATCTCATCAACCGAGCTTTAGACTCCTTTTTGCTCATAAGATAGCAAAGTGTCGCACGATCCATGTGGACAATAACTTTGGCACCCATCAAGTACGGGCGGAACTTCTCAACTGCAAACACAATAGAAAGGAGTTCTTTCTCTTAATAGTATAATTGACTTGGGCACTATTCATGGTCTTACTAGCATAGTAAACCGAATGAAAAGCTTTATTGATTCATTTCCCCAAAACAGCCCCAACCGCTACATCACTTGCATCACACATGAGCTCAAACGGCAAACTCCAATTTGGAGAGGTAATGATAGGAGTCGTTGTCAGCTTGAGCTTCGATTGTTCAAAGGCCCTCATACAATCATCATTGAAATGAAACTTGGCATCCTTCTCAAGGAGCTTAGACAATGCGTTCACCACTTTAGAGAAATCCTTTATAAAGCGCTGGCAGAAACCCACATGGCCCAAGAAACTCAGCACACCCTTTACCGAAGTGGGGGATCGAAGCTTAGAAATAACCTCAATCTTCGACTTGTCAACTTCAATCTTATGGCCAAGCTCAATACCCTTCTCAACCATGAAATGATATTTCTCCCAATTGAGTACCAAATTAGTTTCTTCACATCTAGCCAACACTTTGTCCAAATTTGCAAGACAATCATCAAAAGAATCCCCAACCATCGAGAAGTCATCCAAGAAGACTTCAAGGTAGTCCTCCACCATGTCCATGAAAATAGCCATTATACACCATTGAAAAGTCATCGGTGCATTGCAAAATCCAAACGGCATCCTCTTGAAAGCAAAAGTACCATAAGGACATGTAAAGGTTATTTTCTCTTGATCTTCCGAAGCAATAAGAATTTGGTTGTAGCCCAAGTACCTATCAATAATATAATTGAAAGCACAGCCGGCAAAACTATCAAGCATTTGGTCAATAAAAGTAAGTGGAAAGTGATCCTTCCTTGTGACTTTGTTGAGCTTACAATAATCCATACAAACTCTCCAACCGGTCACCGTTCTTGTGGGAATCAACTCATTCTTCTCATTGGTAACAACCGTCATGCCCCCTTCTTTGGGACACATTGAACTGGAGAGGTCCACGAACTTTCAGACATGGGGTAGACAAACCCCGCATCCAACCACTTGGTAATATTCTTCTTGACCACTTCTCGCATAGCTTCATTGACTCTTCTTTGATGTTCAATAGACGATTTAGCACCATACTCCAACTTGATTTTATGCATGCAAAATGTAGGTCTTATACCACGAATATCCGCTAAAGTCTACCAATAGCCTTCTTCCTCTTTTGCAACACCGCCAATATGGAATCAACTTGCACGTTAGTCAAACAAGAGGAATAAATAATGGGTAAAGCACAACAAGGGCCAAGAAATTCATACCGAAGGTGTGGTGGTAATGGTTTCAACTCTAAAGTAGGTAGCTCTTCAATGGAAGGCTTCGTAGGCAGAGTCTTCCTATTTTCAAGATCCAAAGACAATTTCTGGGGTGCATAGTTGTGCGACCCCATTCCTTGCAAAGAGTTCACACATTCCATGAAACCATCCATCTCATCATCATCAAAGTTTAGCAAAACAGCTTCCAACATATCACCAACATTGATTGTAGCACTTGTATCGTCAACAATAATATCGGTTACCAAGTCCACAAAAGAACACACCTCATTTCTATTTGGTTGCCGCATAGACTTGCACAAATGGAATACCACCTATTCATCACCAACCTGAAAAGTGAGTTCTCCGGCTTCCACATCACAAAGATTATTACCCGTAGCAAGGAAAGGTCTCCCAATAATAATAGTCACTTCATAATCAACCTCACAATCTAGAATAACAAAGTCCACTGGAAGAATGAATTTATCGACCCGGACCAAAACATCCTCCATCACTCCCAACGGCCTCTTCATGGTACGATTGGCCATTTGCAGCCTCATAGATATGGGTCTTTGTTTCCCAATTCCCAAAGTTTTAAACACCGGGTAGGGCATCAAATTGATACTCGCCCCAAGATCACAAATAGCTTTAGCAAAATCGGTACTCCCAATAGTACAAGGAATCATGAAAGCATCGGGATCTTCCAACTTAGGAGCCATAGAATGAACAATTGCACTCACTTGATGAGTGACTTTGATAGTTTCAAAAATTATCGACCACTTCTTCATCACAAGATCTTTCATAAACTTGGCGTAACCTGGCATTTGTTCTAAAGCTTCTACCAATGGCATATTAATAGAGAGACTTCTCATCATTTGAATGAACTTCTTGAATCGATTCTCACCATTTTGCTTTTCAAGTCTTTGAGGATAGGGAGGTGGAGGCTTAGGCAATGGTGCCTTAGCCTTTTGCACTACCGGCTCTGGTATGTCAATAATGTGATCCCTAGATGGGTTCACCTCCTCTTGATTCTCTTTCACACTATCATCAATGTCAATCCAAACTACATCACTTACTTGAACATCATTGTTTGGGATTTCCTCCTCTTGTATCACTTGGTCATCATCCACAAGTCGCCTTTCATTTAAGGTGGGTGCATTCCCACCTCTTCCACTTCTTGTGATAACCGCCATAGCATGCCCCGTATTGTTACCGCCCTTTGGATTTACCACTGGATCACTTGGTAGTTCACCCTTAGGACGAGTATTAAGAGCTTGAGAGAATTTCCCCATTTGAATGTTAAGATTACGGATTGATATGATATGTGAGGCAAGTTGGGCATCCGAATCAGCATTGCTTGAACACGTTCTCAATACGGCCCATCTCATTGTTTGAAGAACTTGAACCGTGGGAAGGATGAGGAAGTGGGTTGCTAGGTTGTTGGTACATTAGGGGCCTTTGAAAACTCGATCCTTGATTTCCTTGATTGTTATTGTTTCCCAACTACCTTGATTGTTGCCTCCCCAATCTCCTTGGTTGTAATTGTTGTGCCAATTCACTTAATTTTTAGAACCCCAATTGCCTTGGTTATTTTGTGGTCACCATTGTTGTTGATTGTCGCCTTGGAAATTGCTTCTTTGCTCTTGGTAATTGTTCATAAATTGTACTTCTTCCTCTTGCTCTTGATAAGAATCATCTTGATCAAAACTGCCATCATCTTGTGCATAACTCTCCACTCAGAATATAAATTATGGACCCTTGGTCCTCTTCTTGTTGACGAACACATTTACCCCTTCCATAGTATGAACTTGCTTAGGAGCTTGAACTTGATTAAGTTGGGCCTTGGCGAGTTGGGTCATAGTCGTTGTCAATTCGGCAATGACTTGCCCATGGTCTTGCAACTCTTTATGGAGATGAATCATGTTGGGATCACCTTGCGGAACATTAGCTCGAGATTGCCAAGCCGAAGATGTTTCCACCATCTCATCAAGAATCTCACATGCCTCCACATAAGGTGTTGTCATAAAGTTGCCTACGACTAATTGATTGATCACATGCTGGTTTGTAGTGTCAATACTGTTCACCTCGAAAAATGTGAGTAACAATTAAAGATAATTTTTGGTTTTAAAGATATGTGATTTATTCTAATACCAGTGAATATACAAGTAATATTAAGTTTAAGTAAGAAGAATTGATGAATCTAACCAGTGTTGTTAGAACAATAGGGACCTTGGGCTCGATTATCTCAGGGCCTCGAGGTGAGCTAAGATCAATAAAGTATGAACAATAAAGTAAAGGCAATAAAGCTGAAGAACAATTGTTGAGCACAAGAGAAGCAGAGTAGAATGTTCTTATTGCGGTGAATGATATCCCCATTACAGATGATTGGGGTCGCCTTTATATAGGAGGGGAAAACCCTAATATGTTACATTTCCAATTATGATAAAAAATTCTATTGTTACAGCTGTATAATGACCTAGTACGGACTTGTACTATTTCGTACAAATCATAACCTATAATTTATGACCTGACCCACGTGTCCTTGAGAAATTCCCGCTCTTTCTTGAGTGTCAACGAAATTGTACTGCCCTCGAGGCAGATCATGAAGGGCCCCCGATTTGCTTCTCGAGGTGCACTCATCCAGACCTGGCTTGATTTTTACTTCAAGCTTCCAGAATTCGAACTCGGAGTGTAATCCAGTCCTCGAAATCGAGCTCTCTGATTTCTACCGTATACAGATAGTCCCCACGTTTTTTAGAATGAAATGATATGAAATGATTTGGAATCCCAAAGTTCTTAGTGATGACGTCATCCCCGTGATGCAAGTGTTCGATGTGACTGAAACGTCCCGTTGGTCCACTTCCCCAAAAACATTGAATGCATGCCAGTATTGGTCGGCCACTAATGCCACCGAACCGTCGTTGCTCTTCTATAAATATGAGGAGATTCTTCTAAGTAAATAACTTTACTCTTTCTTCACTCATTTCCCATTTTCTTCTCTTTCTCCAATCACTCATTTCCTCCGCCTCTTGAAGCGGCGGAAAAATGCCAAGCTTTTGTCGGAAACACCACATCCCTGTGCACCCGTATTACTTAGCTTATAACCATGGCCAAAACTTCCAAGACAGTCCCCAAAAAGGATAAAGCATCATCTTCTTCTGCCTCCCGGCCGGCCAAACCGGTGGTGCCGCCAACGCTTGAGGAAATCACCCCCGGTAATTGCATTATTAAGAAAGACTTCAGTATCGAGAATCCTTCCGATGTCATAGGCCGATGCGAGCACATATCTCGATATATTAGCTTGATAACGAAGCAGATCACCAAGGAAGTAAAGAAGAAATGTCGCTAGGGAGACGAGGTTGAGGTTCAGATCCCGAGCCCCGATGAAAGCATTACTACCCACAAGGAGGGGTTTTTGAGTGTTTACACTTACCCCTTCACACTGGGTCCCCTCGATCCGGTCGTGAGCGACTTCTGCAAAACGTACGAAGTCACCCTCGGTCAGATTCACCCTTCCTTCTGGCGTATCGTGATCATGTTGCGGTATTTTTCTAAAAAGGCCAGGGGTTTGGACTTCACCCTCAGTCACCTAGTTCGACTGTATCGGCCCCAGTTATTCCGAGGGCTCATCACGCTACAACGCCAAACAATGAAATCCTTCTTTGCCAGCACTGACGAACCCAAAGATCAGGGTTGGATGAGCCGGTTTGTTAGAGTAAGAAATTCGGACGTCATTCCTGAGGATAAAATGTCGTTCTCGGAGAGGTGGGACTTTAACTGTAAGTGGAGTTCGTATTCCCTGTACCTCTTCATATTCTGCTTCTATATTTTGTAACGCTGTTATCCTTCTTTTGGCAGCCAATTCTTGGGCGCCTCCAGCGGTGCCCGACCTTGAGGATTGGGTCCGAAAGTTAGCTGCCACTTCATCCTATGATGAGTGCAAGTGGCGTGAATTATCAGAGGGCCGGTGGGAAGCCAAGAACCACGGTAAGTGCCTTTCAGCAGTTTCAACACTTGCCATATATTGGTGGCGTTCTTACTTACTCACGCTATGCCTGTGCAGGCCTTGGCGATGCATCCGAGATAAGGCCGGCTCTGCCCGGGGAAAAAACCAAGCCTTCAAATCCAAAGTCCGAGAAGGACAATAAAAGCAAAAGGGTCTCGAAACACGAAGACCCTCAAGACAAGAAACCCCCGCTCGAAGGCTGCGGAAAAGATTTTCTCAAACGGGAGCAGACTCGGCCCATGACTCCCGGGATGATGGAGAAAATGATAATGAAGAGTCGGCGCTGGTGACTCGGACTAGGAAGCCAGTCGAGGTCACCAAGCCTTCCGAACCGGAAACCTCGTCCTGTGGTGAGGATGCCCCGAAGGAAGAAACGGGCAAGGCCCCTGCATCCCCGGAGGTCGAGATTGTCCCTCCGCCTTCAACCACTATAATGGAGGGGGTAAATGCTGAGACCCCCAATGATAATGAGGACGCCCCGAGTGAAGAGCTCGGGACCGCGACAACGGGTTACTCCCTTTCATTGCCAACTTATTCTGAGGGGGAAATCGAAGAAGCCAACATTATGCGTATGCCCGACCCAAATAAGGTCATCGAGGACGATCCTTTTCAGGGTTGCTACACTGGGATTGAGGATGCCAACGACTTTAATGATGCATCCTCCATTTTCGAACAGGCTCAATGTCCCCTTTCCCGGGTAAGGACTTGCCCTTTTTATCGTAAATTTTTCTTCCTTTTTTTTCTTTTGACTGATATGTCTCCATTCCACTTACAGGCTGTTGTGAAGTTTAGAGCTGAGCTGAGCCAATGTGAGGCTGAGCTTAAGAAGGTTACGGGTGAAGAGAAGGCCTTGACACTCCTCTGTATCCAGAAGGAAGAGGAGCTTAAGGATCTCCGAACCGCATTTGGCAAAGCTCAAAAAAGCGAGTCCGAGCTAGATGAGTAGGTAACTGTGATTTTAACAAAGTTCAGCCTTCTTGGCCCTACTTCGGAGGCTAATACTTCGATATCTCAGCTGCAGCAAAAGCTAGATATGATTAGGCAGCTCCGGGGCGAGGTAGATCTAGTTCGGGCTGATTGTCATCAGTGGAAGAAGAACATGGATCAACTTGCTGCCGACAAGGAAGTTGTTACGGCCCAACTGGCCTCGGCTGAAGCTCAGCTCTGAGGTGTTGAAGCGAAGGGTCTGGCTCAGGCCAGGAAAATCGAGGGGTTGGAGGCCGAGCTAGTTAAAGTCGGGGCCGAAGCTGCACAGGCTAAGGCTGAAGCTGAATAGGCCAAAGCCGAAGTTGAGAAGACAAAGGCTGTGGCCGACAAAGCCATTGCTATATACTTGAGGGAAACTGCGGCCGTTCAAGCTGAGTTGAAGGAGGCCTCCGACCGAGGAAGACAGAGCAATGAATTGGCTAAGTGCCAAGCCCGGAGGGAGACTCTTGAGGAAATCCATGCCCGAGGGTTCGACCTTACCGGGGGGGATAGCTGAGGCAAAGGCGCGGGAAACCGATGCTAGGTTCCTCGTCTCCTCCGATGACGAGGATGTGGTGAGTGGCTCCGGGGACGAGGAAGGCGAAGAAGATACTCCCGAAGGAGAGGAGACTCCCGAAGATAGAACCACTGAAGATGAAGGTTCTGGAGACGACACTCCCGGGGGCATGACCCCGAAAATAGATTAGGTTTGTTTTTTGAGCAAGGGCCCTTTGTGGGCGTTGTAAATGTTTTGTAACTTTCCCTTATGAATATAAAGTGTCTTTTCGCTCTATCTTTGATTTGTGTTGAATTTTATTTTATCCCCGTTTGTGGAAAATTTTGATGATTCAAATACTTAGCTTGAGTATCGGTTCAGATTCGTAATAAACCCTTAGGTTTTATTGCTCAAGGTAATACCTCTTAAGGTTTTAGACAGTCCTCGGTCTAAGCTTAAAGTCAATTTGATGCGAGTTTGGAACAATGGGGCCTTTGAGTTAGAGTTGAGTGAGAATGAAGTCTCGGACTCTTATAAGCTTTTGGCCCTTAAGCTCATTTAAGCTGGCCCTTAGGCTCTTATACATCGGCCCTTAGGATCTTTTTACATCGGCCCTTAGGCTCTTTTTAAGCTGGCCCTTAGGCTCTTATACATCGGCTCTTAGGCTCTTTAAGTTGTCCCTTAGGCTCTTATACATCGGCCCTTAGGCTCTTTAAGTTGGGCCGTTTCGGCCTCTAAAATGGATATATAATTTTTCCCTCATTTCGGCTAAAAGACTTAGTGGAATTTTAGTTATGCCTTAGCATGTGTTTTGTACCAGTTGGGTTTTTCGAAGGCTGGTATTATCGAAGCCTTTGGATTATTCGAGGGCTGAATTTATCGAAGCCCATAGATTTCTCGGGGGGGCGAATTTATCGAAG